ACGTATAATTCAGCCTGCCAAGATAACGAGGGAGTGAGACAAATGTTACAGAAGGAGACACAGATACAGATACACCAGTAAGTAGCCAGACAGACAAACAGACAGACAGACAGACAGACAGACAGACAGACAAGATGAAGACTGCAGACATAAACACAGTCTCACACACATGCAGTGTCTCACACACAGACAGCACACAGACAGACAGACAGCTCCATATACACACACACACACCCAGCCTCAGACACACACAAAAACACACGCACACAGACCCTCTCACAAGCACACACACACATACCATCACACACAGATCCTCAAACACACACACACACACACACACACACACACACACACACACACACACACACACACACACACACACACACACACACACACACACTCTCAGACAGGGTTAAACTCGGAAAACAACAGAAATATGTCTTTGTTTGGTCGTTGCTTAGCAACTCTTTTAAAAAATGTGGGGGAAACTTCTGTAGCAATGGAGAGTCAGGACTCAAATGGCGCATTTCCACCACACGGTCGGCCTCGGCCTCGCTCGTACTGCTAGGCCGCGTTGGGCCTTGTTAGGGCCGGCTCACTTCATGCTGCGCTTCCATTACAGTTTAGGAACTGGGGTAGTTACTATAGTAACGCAGTGTAGGCGGAGCCGTGACGTCATCTTCAATGAGACCCCCAGAAAAACAACACAGCCGTTAGCTGTTAGCACTCAAGCTCACAGCTCCTTATTAATTACAATTAAATCACGGTAAAATATGTTCATCTTGTTGTAGTTGTAGCCCCCTTGCCAGCGATTCTCTCTCTAGTTTAGCAAACTCAGCCCTGTTTGTTGGCCCCGATAGAACCACGATTTTGTCGGGCCAGAAAAGAGGTGAAAAAGTACCCCCGGGCCGGAACTAGGCCTAGTGGAAGCGCAACCAAAAACGGGCCCGGCACGACACGGTACGCTTAAACTGCGCTCCGCGCCATGGTGGAAATGCCCCAAAAGAGACACGAGGAGAGCTGGAGCTTTGATGGCAAACACTGATGGTTTATTACGAGCTTCGGCCGGAGAATTCACAAGACATGTCACGGGCCACGGTTTGACCACACGGTTGAGATGCCACAATCAATTCTGAAGAACTCTTCTGTAGTTCCAGGTTTTAACTAGTTCGGAATGTAATAATCAATATTCTTTATCAGCGAGACTAAACAAATATGGACCCTGAATCTAACTAGAGCTGTCGTCCATAGAAAAGAATGTGCGCCAGGGAACCTACAGATGTAGCACTTCAATTAAATTAGGGAAACCTGGTACTTTACTGTACTGGTACCTGGTGCATTTATCAACTAAAGGGACATTGCAAAATAGTATTTTAGATTATATTATAGATTTATAAAGTATGATTTATGTGTATAAGTCCAGTGCATTTGAGAGTATGACAGAGAAAAAGAGCTGTATTAAAAATGTACAACAAAGTCCCTCAGGAGTATATAAAGTCCCTTAGGAATATGTTGCATTTATAATCCTGTAGGAATTATACAGGACAATGAATCTCAGTGTTTGCTTGGAGTCTCAAAGATGTGACCGTTGTCTCAAGAGGGAGAGTTCAAACCAATCTGCATTAGAAGATGGGCATTACATGATTTATTTTATATTATAGTTTTGTAATATATTTCAGTGTTTTTAAACCCATATAATTGATTAAAATATACTTAGGCTTATGATCATTATCTGAAGTATTACTCTCTTTCCTCTACAAAATGCTCTGTTCCACTCACAGTTGAAGGTCCAGTGCTTTCACAGACTAATTGCAGCCTCCATTATTTCTGGTGTTCCAGCTTGGAAACCAACACATGCTAACATTCTTCTTCCACTGAAACCACTAATATTATTTCAGTCACATTTGGCTACATTTACAAGTTAGCTTAGATGCTGGCATCTGCACATTTTACTTTTCAAAATGTTATTCATATTTCACAACACAAAGGCAGACGATCAAACATTACAAAATCAAAACATTTCGTTCATGAAAGATTGAAAATGACGTAAATATGTTGAGCCTTTCCCTTGCAACCATGTGTTGATGTAATCAAATACATGTATTCCAGGCAGTTTGTGGTTAAGAAAATTAGGACTCTGACATGAAGGATCACTCCTCTGGATTTTTTTCCTATTAGGATGTTGGAATTTCCGACATTTGCCAGCGTAAGGAACAGAGCATTAGGTCACTCCAAATGTCTCCAGTCTCCAAAAGAATGCAGCTTTACACGAGATTAGTTTTCTAAGAATGCTTAGTTTCCACTCCCTAAAAAGTATTTATCTTTCCTCACTTTGCCTCTTCATTTCATTTAGTTGACGCTTTTATCCAAAGCGACTTACAATAAGTGCATTCGACCAAGAAGATACAAACTTGAAGAAAACAGAATCATATAAGTACATTAGGTTTCATAGAGCTAAAACATTTTAAGTGCTACTCAACAGGCTTTAGATAAGCCAGTCCTTTGTTAGTATATAAGTGCTTTGTTAGTATGTAAGTGCTTAGTTAGTATATAAGTGCTTTTTATTTTGTTTTGTTTTTTGTTTTCTGTTTTTCATTTTATTGCTCGAAGTGGAGTCGAAAGAGATGAGTTTTCAGTCTGCACCGGAAGATGTGTAAGCTTTCTGCTGTCCTGATGTCAATGGGGAGCTCATTCCACCATTTTGGAGCCAGGATAGCAAACCGACGTGTTTTTGCTGATGGGAACTTGGGTCCCCCTCGCAGTGAGGGTGCAGCGAGTCGTTTGGCTGATGCAGAGCGGAGTGCACGTGCTGGGGTGTATGGTTTAACCATGTCCTGGATGTAGGAAGGGCCAGAACCATTCACAGCATGGTACGCAAGTACCAGTGCCTTGAAGTGGATTCTAGCAGTTACTGGAAGTCAGTGAAGGGAGCGGAGGAACGGTGTGGTGTGGGAGAATTTAGGAAGGTTGAAGACCAGACGAGCCGCTGCATTCTGGATGAGCTGCAGAGGACGGATGGCACATGCAGGTAGACCAGCCAGGAGGGAGTTGCAGTAGTCTAGGCCTGGACCAGAAGCTGCGTCACTTTCTGGGTCAGGAGGGGACGTATCCTCCTGATGTTTTAAAGAGTGTATCTGCAGTAGCGGGTTGTTGCAGAGATGTTGCAGTGAAGGACAGTTTGTTTTCTAGGGTCACACCCAGATTCCTTGCAGTCTGAGTCGGGGAAACAACAGAGGGGCCGATGTTGATTGTTAGGTCAAGAGTGGGACAATCTTTTCCCGGAAGAAAAAGCAGTTCAGTCTTGTCAAGGTTTAGCTTGAGGTGGTGAGCAGACATCCACTGAGAGATGTCAGCTAGACAAGCAGAGATGCGTGCGACGACCTGGGTTTCAGAACGGGGAAAAAGACTAAATGAATTGAGTGTCGTCAGCGTAGCAGTGGTATGAAAAACCATGCGGGCTAATGACAGATCCGAGCGAGTTTGTGTACAGAGAGAAGAGGAGGGGACCGAGGACAGAGCCCTGAGGGACCCCTGTAGATAATTGACAATGGTCGGACCCTCTCCAAGTTACCCTATAGGTGCGGTCTTTGAGGTATGAGGTGAGGAGGGAAAGTGCAGAGCCTGAAACTCCAAGTTCTTGGAGAGTGTGAAGGAGGATCTGATGGTTCACCGTGTCGAATGCAGCAGACAGGTCCAAAAGGATGATGACAGAGGAGAGGGAGGCTGCTTTAGCAGTGTGCAGTTCCTCAGAGACAGCAAGGAGGGCAGTTTCTGTGGAGTGACCTGCCTTGAAACCAGACTGGTGCGGATCCAGAAGGTTGTTCTGATGGAGATAGCAGGAGAGTTGTTTAAAGACAGCGCGTTCAAGTGTTTTAGACAGGAGCGGGAGGAGAGAGACAGGCCTGTAGTTTATAACATCGGACGGGTTGAGAGTGGGTTTCTTTAGGAGAGGGTTTACTATTGCCTCCTTGAGACTGTTTGGAAAGTGACCAGAAGTTAGAGAAGTATTGATGAGATGGGTGAGAAACGGTAGAATATCTTCGCTCCCTCTCCTCTCTCTGCTCAGCTTCTTGTCTCTTTCCCTCTGCCTCTCTGTCTCTATCCGTATCACTCCTCAACTCTCTACCTTTCTCTCGCTTGGTTTGTCTTCAATTGTGTTCTCTGTACCTCTGTGTGTGTATGTGTGTGTGTGTGTGTGTGGGTGTGTGTGTTTGCAGTCTGTGTGTCTCTTTCTCCACAGCGTGTACATCAGCCATCTCATTACGGCTGTCTGTTTTTACATCCCTTTGCCTCATTAGGCACCGCACACAGCCACTGAGGACAGCAGGCCTTAACTCCTGCGCCAATTTACCCTTCTCTCTCTCTCTCTCTCTCTCTCTCTCTCTCTCTCTCTCTCTCTCTCTCTCTCTCTCTCTCTCTCTCTCTCTCTTCTCCATTTCTGTGTGTGTATGTGTGGGTGTCTGTGTGTGTGTTTTGCTAGTATAATGCTCTCTGCATCTCCCTTGTCACACATTACCTTGTTTCCTTGCATTAGGCTCCTTTCTTTCCTTTGCATCTCCCCTCCTTCATCTCCTCTCAATCTGTGCTTATGGTAAACAGAGTTCCTTGCTCTCCCCTCAACTTCCTTTTCCCTTTGCTCTTTCCAATAACACACCCTTTCTAGCAGCTTTATGTTTTGTAACTACTGATTCTATTCATGTTTAGTCCTCATAAATCCATTATAAAAGGTGTACATTTACAATTGCGGATGTGACGGATTATTATCGAGCATTTTATTTAGGACTTTCTCACATTTATAACATCAGACCTGATGGTTTATTACAAAATGAGAAAATATTTAAATACAAATTAATTTAAGGGATTACCACCATCATAACCCAGCTACTCAAAAACAGTTATAAGTTATTATAGTATGACATACAACTTACAGACCCTTTTAGAAATTGGATGAGTTATTGTCGTGTTTCTTCTGCTGATCTTGTGTTTCTCTGTGTCTGCAGGTGAATGAGATCTACCATGACCAGTCTTTGGGAGCAAAGATCAACGTGGTGCTGGTGCGGATTATCATGCTGGGCTACGGCAAGGTAAGACCCGACAGGAGACAATGTTTTCTAAAAAGTAGACTCTGAAGCCCTTCCTGTAAGGTGGTTGCCTCTTGTCTCTCTGTCAGAACTATCTTTGATCCTAGGATTTTGATACAATCGCTTCAAGTACCCACAGTAAGCACTGCCAAGTCGTACACACACATATAAACAAACTCGCAGACTCACACACGCACTCATCAGCACGCATTGATGCCCGGAGCCTGTTATTCCAGTGGACTGAGCAAAAGAGGAACTAAAAGCATGCAGCATCCCAGGGGAGTGTTTTCAAGTCGCACGCCTTCACAGTTCAGCACCAAAGCACACAGAAACTCTGCCCGTTATACAATCAGCCTTCCTCCCAGCAGGCTGCTGCACGGAATCATGGGAAGTCCAGGCAAAGATAAACAATCAATGATAGCCCTCCCTCATTCATAAACAGAGAGACCGGACGATGGGGGTAGCATCCTCTTCTTCATGACTGTAACTCTATCCTCCTGTCTGTGCCGAGGAGAAGAGGAGGGAAAGAGAGGAAGAGAGGAAAGAAACAGAGATAAAGCAAGGGATGGCAGGAAAGGAGAAGGGCAGGGATTACCCCCACAGGATGATACAAGTGATTGTATTGCTGGATAGGTACTCTGTGATACACTTATGCTGCTGTAGCCTTATCTCTTCCTCTCCTCTCTACATGTCTACAGCCCCAGTGGAGCCCTGGACACACACACACACACACACACATACACACACACACACACACACACACACACACACAACACACACTCCAACATTGGTCATTCTGGGCCAGCCCCTATGCAGCTTCAGCCAAAGCTCTGGCTGTCCATCATCCCCAATTACCGTGGCAACAGAGCTGCACCCAGACAGCCTGCAGATTGGCTATGTGACCCTGCAGGCGCACCCACACCCACACTTAACTACACACACACAACTACACACACACACACACACACACACACACACACGCACACGCACACGCACACACACACTCTTTAACACAGTCTGAACACAGAACACAGCATTCCAAATACATCTTTAAACATACAAAGGACACTGGCACACACACAAACACATGCACACACACATGTACACACGTTCGCACACACAAGCACCTGATGAACATGATGAAGCTCACACGAGTGTACAGTGCACTCTGTCTAAGGGGCGTTTGTGCAGAGGCAGGCCATATGTCTTCACTGCAGCACACTCACACTACACAATCTTCCCTGTTTGAGTCAGCTGTGCATTTTACATTTGTAAAAACAGAGATGAAATGTAAAAAGACAGGCAAAAAGGAGGCAGAGGAACAGAGAGATGGAAAGACTTGTACAGCTGAATGTAGAGGGAGCGAGGGAAAGGGGAGCGGAGCAGAAATCCTAATGAGGAAAAGAATGAGAGCTGAAGGTGAATGGAAGGATTTGCTGCTATCTGGGTATTTGTGTAGTTGTATAATGCATTGAATAACACAAGTATTCTGTAATTGGAGATGCTTTTGACTATTAGTGCATAGCTCATTAATCGGCAGCTCTGTGTGCAGTTTCTTATGTTATGTTGATCTTAATAAAATGACCGTATCCAGCATTGTGTGAGTACTTTGGATCCCCCAAGTGTGTGTGTGTGTGTGTGTGTGTGTGTGTGTGTGTGTGTGTGTGTGTGTGTGTGTGTGTGTGTGTGTGTGTGTGTGTGTGTGTGTGTGTGTGTGTGTGTGTGTGTGTGTGTGTGTGTGCGCGTGTGTGTGTGTGTTGTACACCTCAGCAATTTGCAAGATGTGCTGACAATATATAACACTGTGACACTGCCCCCTACAGGGTGGTAAAATACTGTTATTGTACCAGATTTGAGGACAAGAAGCATGCTTATACTGTAGGTCCTTGTTTTCCTATGATCTTTACACCCTCTTCTCTCTGTCCCCGTGTGCGTCTCTCACTTTCCAGTCCATGAGTCTGATCGAACTGGGGAACCCGTCTCAGAGTCTGGAGAACGTGTGTCGCTGGGCCTTCCTGCAGCAGAAGCAGGACACAGGGGACGCTGAGTATCACGATCACGCCATCTTCCTCACACGCCAGGAGTTTGGCCCGACTGGCATGCAGGGTAACGAATGACATAACCATACTGAAAACCTTAGTATTCAACCTTCTTAAATGCATAAATCTAAACTTCACGCCCACCATCTGAAGGAACTAAAGCACACAAAAAGTACACAAGAAAACTCTTCCTTCCTTCGCCTCAGAGAGCTGCATAGTGCACTGTGGGTTTAGTGGTTGGTGGTTTTCTGTGCAGCAGAGTGCAGGCCAACAGGCAGGCCCAGGGGAGAGGCCTCTAAAGGCAGTGGCCCAGCCATCCAGAAGCCCTTCAGCTGCCCTTGGGCTCAGCCTTCAGCAGCAGAAAATCAATAGGCAGAGCAGGGCCAGCCACACTCCCACAATTAAAGGCAGTGCAGGACAGACAAGCACACAGGGAGTCAGAGAGTGGCACATGGAGGGGTGGAAGGCGATGGGTTAGGGGTAGGGGTGGAAATACATGCACACATTTATGTGTTTGTATGTGTGACGGTGTATGTCCTAAGTGTAAGTAGTATACATTATGCATCAGTCTCAGAAATTCTTTAGCAACTTCCATGATGAATCCCATGAATGTACATAAGTTAGGCATTTCTCAGTCATTGTAGTCAAATTATAGAATTGCCGTATTAAAAATATTGTTAATTTTTCAATTTAAGTAAATATACAAATAAAAGAATTACTTTTTTGGGCTGTCAGAGGTATTTGGATATGGACCCTTTCTCTAAAATATCTTGTTTTATTTTATGAATACACATATTTTCTTCCTCTTGCTCGTTTTCCATTTTGCAAATATAAAGAGGTTTGTTAGATATGACCTTTGACATTCAGAGCAAATTGTCCTGTGTCTTCACATTGAGTTCAAAGGTTGTTTTTCACTCAGACCTGTCCAACATGGCAGCAAGTAGGTTACAACATGAACATAAAACAACAGATAACACAAAAGGACATCGTATTTACAGGGCTACATTTACATACCTAGAGACATTGACAAGTACCAACAGTATCAAGTATCATTGAACCTATCCAAACTTTAAAAACAGGACCAATTTGCTCAGTTTCAAATCTTTTTGAAGACTGTTCCAAGCAATACAAGAGGAGCTGCGCACATAAAAGCTTGGCACTTAGCACATGTAACAAAGCCACATCATGTGATCTCAGGCAATAGCTACCTGCAACTCTCCGTGTGATCAGAGAGCAGATATAAGATGGGAGTTTACCCAACATGGCTTTATAGATGAACATGTACCAGTGACTGAGCCTCCGTAAAGTAAGTGAAGGCCAACCTGCCCTGGCATACAGGGTACAGTGATGACTAAGTCCTTTACAATTTGTAACAAATCTCAGTGCACTGTGATAGGCGGCATCTAACTTGTGCAGGTAATGGGCAGGTGCATTCATATAAATCAGATCACCATAGTCAGTTAAAAAAACAACAATAAATCTACAAATTCTGACCATTGTGTCCCTCTTTCTTGTCGCCCAGGTTACGCCCCGGTGACGGGCATGTGCCATCCGGTCAGGAGCTGCACGTTGAACCATGAGGACGGTTTCTCCTCTGCCTTTGTGGTGGCACACGAGACCGGACACGTGTAAGTTCATTAACCACAATGAAGTGTTCAAGCTTGTTGTCATGGTGCAGCAGAAGACAACAGAGCAGGCACTTTACAGGTTTTATCGATTTCTAAAAGTTTTGGACCATCGGTCACCTCAGCCAATATTTCTGATGAGAGAATTGCTTCTACCTCCCTCCCTCCCTCCCTCTCTCCCTCCCTACAGGTTGGGGATGGAGCACGATGGCCAGGGGAACCGCTGTGGAGACGAGGTGCACATGGGCAGCATCATGGCCCCGCTGGTGCAGGCTGCCTTCCACCGCTTCCACTGGTCCAGATGTAGCATGCAAGAGTTGGGACGCTACCTTCAGTGAGACACACACACACACACACACACACAGACAATACAATGCCATAAATAAATATTTAGATGTAAGCAATGTTTGTATTAAAGTGTATACAAGTTAAACTGAGTTGTTGATTGGAAACCTAAAAGCAACACTTTCTATTTATTCATCCTGATGTTAAGTGAAAGTGCCAAAACATTTCCAATGTGAATATTTGCTGGTTTCCTGAAACCTCTGTAATAGTACATTGAATATATTTTCAAAACACAAAACAAGTGATTTGAAGGAAATTGTGATTTTTTCTCTATTTTATGACATTTTCTGGACCACATTTTTCCCCGACACAATAATCATCAGATTAATTTAAAAAGATAATAATTGTTGGTTGCCGCCTTAGTTCTGGTATTGCACAATGACACGAACAACAAAATGAGATTATAATAAATGTCATCCCATTTTTGTACTCCTCTTGCAGTTCCTATGACTGTCTCCGTGACGACCCCTTTGACCACAACTGGCCCTCGCTGCCTCAGCTTCCTGGGTTGCATTACTCCATGAACGAACAATGTCGCTTCGACTTCGGTGTGGGCTACACGATGTGCACCGCGGTAAGACATCCCTACTGTTTCATGTTCATTTTGACTAACATAGCTAAAGTTGCTAACACTAACTAACCGCTCTGAAGATAACTTCAGTTGCCACACATCAACCGTAGCAAAGCTTTATCATCTGAGATGATACAGCTTTTCAGAGTCAAGTTAAACTCACCTTTAGTCTGTTCAATAAATTCAGAGTTTGCTGAATTTCACTGTGGAAGTCACACTTTTATGGGATCTTTTGAGCTATGAAGGTTTTCCTAGTGAACTGAATGCAGCACTGACATCCATCTCTGATCTACATTGTAAAGAAAGAGTCACACATATACAGCTATTCAAATTCTTCTGATGTCCTCTGCTTCCTCTACTGCCACTGGTGGGATTGGCATCTTACTTAAAAGCAGGTAAATGTTTTTTATAGCTTTTTCTTTTTTTCTGTTCTCAAAGTAATACTACATTTAGATATTGACCATTTGTATATCAGTTACTCAGCCCTAACTGATATACAAACCAACCCTTTTTGGTTTTCTCCCAAACCTCCACTGTAAATGAAGAATCCCGTTGAACCAGTCGTTTATTTTAAATAGTAAGGTTTTAGTGAAGATGCATGTGTTTGGGAACTAGTGTTCATATGAAGGGCTAAATGAGACTTAAATGATACTGCAAACGTTGAGTAAGAAATTGTAAACCAATGTTAAGTATAGTTTTGCGTTTGTTAAATGTAGCCTGCGCATCAATTTATCAAGATTTGTCTACATTTCTCGAGTTTCGTACACCGTGTTAACAGCCTGAGTTATTGATATACAAATTGTCAGTTTGTGGATAAAGTATTCGTTTAATTTTAAATATGATAATTAAAAGATATATATTTGAACACTACACTTATCTTGATACCACAGTGCCTTTAGATGATCCTGTCAATTTTCTAAACACAAAGCGTCTAACAGTAGACAACATACACGCAACTTCAGCATTTCACCAGGCGTCTAACCTCCCCCTGTCCCCCTCACCCACTCTATGACTGTGGGGAAGCTGTGGCTTGATTGACAAAGGTCTTGTTCAGGGGCTTTGCACACATTGCTAGATTACCCTCTATTCTCTTGTCAAACCCATTCCCCTCAGCTACAAAAGGCGGGCCAGTCAGGAACCCAGGTAAGGTGACCACACCTCCCGGAAGACATGTGGCCCGTCATTTGTTTTCTCAGATTTTCGTTTTCTATTTGTCCTCTGAAGTTGTAATTGTTCGTAATGTTGCTCCTTATTTTACATTTTTACTGTACTTTGTTTCTCTGTTGTACGGTACCCATCGTCATATTTTGGACGTTCGTCTGCAGGATTCTAAAATGCTTATTTCCAGAGATAGTGGGTGTAAAATCCTAAAAAGATGTGGTTATTCTGGTTCAGTAGCTATGGTGCAGTTCAACAGCTGAACCGTACCCTATCCTGACTGTTTTCCAGCAAATCTGTGTTAAATTGCAGCAGCGCTGGCAGGAAGAGCCTCATTATATTGGAACACTCACCACTATAAATGAGTGGAAAAGGTTGGAAAGATGTCTTTCCCATTCAAGGGGAAAGGGCTGAGCCAGAACAGAGGCTGTTTTTCCACGTTTCACTTCAGCTTTTAGGATCCTCCAGTCTGATGTTATTGGTGATTACCTACCACAGTCTAGCCATTGATTGTGACTCGCCCTCTGACCTGCCAGGCCCCCTGTGGTCATGGTGGGTATGAAGGTGTGTAGAAAGGAGGGAGCAGGGCAGGCCCCTCAGACACTGGGCTGCGGGTCAGTCTGGTGGTATCCTCATCAGTGGTTCATATCAGACAAATAGAAGAATTTGGTCCTTGATCTGTGTCTAGGGGCATTTTAAGGTCTAAGGGACCTCACCTTTTGGCTATTTAACCTTCTGCCCTCTGCCCTCTGACCTCCGTGGTGACCTAATTAAACCAGAGGCGGTCTCATTCTGAGAGTCTTGTCTCTCTCTCATCCTTTGGTTTAGTTTGCATGTATGGCTGTGTGTTTCTCAGTGGAGTTTAGTGTACAGTGCAGTGACAAAGTGAAGGGTCGGTGTTGTAATTGTTGGGTATAATACTGTTTGTGTTGTAGTGATATTTATATTCTCATCTTTTAATTTTTTATTTTGAATCTCATTCCGGTCTCATGATGGTTGAGTTGTGTATTAAATGCCTGCGTGTATTTTATTATTTGAATTCTGAGAGTGAGTCTCTCTCTGTGCCCTGCAGTATCGCACATTTGACCCATGTAAGCAGCTGTGGTGTAGCCACCCAGACAATCCCTTCTTCTGCAAGACCAAGAAAGGACCGCCCATTGATGGCACCATGTGTGGGAATGGAAAGGTATTCTTACACTTTTTTATCTAACACAAAAAATAAATAAAGTCCTAGCACACAGCAAAGTATTAATCAAATCTTTCTTTATTGTCTGCCTGTTGCAGCATTGCTTTAAAGGTCACTGCATCTGGTTGACACCTGACATCATAAAGCAAGATGGAAACTGGGGTTCATGGAGTGAGTTTGGTCAGTGCTCCCGCACCTGTGGTGGAGGAGTACAGTTTCGCACACGCGACTGTGACAATCCAAGGTATGAAACTGTGTTTAATAGTGTGTGTTTTCTGTATGTGCCTAATTATTCCAAATTCAGGTGAAGCTCAAATTGTGATTTAGCAAGTATACCACAATATGAGAGCTTGATAGTTAAGCTCTTATATTTGTTGCACTGACTTTGGTGATAGTTGCAGAGAGAAAATGTGCTCCATAACCCTTGAACAAGATTGCTGTTTAGCTGTCGTAAATAATAGACACTTTAATAACAATGTAATGGTTAACAACTTAACTTTATAAAGGTTGTATTTAAACTATATAAAAGCTGTGGTATAAACTTAAATAAAATCTAAACTTATAAAATATCATGCCAACATAAAATGTTTTACCAAATATGAATATGTACATATTCAGGGTTAGGGTTAGGGTTACACTAAGTGCCTTTTACTTAAACACTATATTCAAGTGCTTAATATGTCATTTCTATCCTAAATTGTCCCAAAAAATCCAATGAATTTAAGAAGTAAACCATACCTCAACTTATGCTAATAAATGCATCCTCCTGCCTGCTCCCCTCTCAGACCAGCCAATGGAGGCCGCACCTGCGTTGGGGCGACTTACCAGTTCCAGATGTGCAACACCAACGAGTGCGAGGATATCTACAGTGACACACGAGAGGAGCAATGCCACGCTTGGGACCCCCGCTTTGAAATCCACAGCAACAAGCACCAATGGCTGCCTTATGAACACACAGACCGTGAGTATACGACGCAGATGGAAAAAGGATGAAGTCGTTTGGTGGAGAGATGGACACAGACAGAGGCTGTCAGATTAAAGATAGCAGACAGAGAGCGAAAACCAAAAGTGACTGTGGAAGTAGTAAATACGTATGAAAGCCAAAAAGAGGAAACTAACACATAACTCTTAAATGTGGTTGGGTTTAAGAGTTTTTTTTATTTATGGTCATTGACATCTGGATGTCCTGCTGAGTAGAGCTTAGAGCTACGACTACGCCCTCCAATAAAAACATGCCATCCATTTGAAATCCCTTTAAAAACAGTCTTCTTTGAACATTGTCTTTTTTACTCTCCACACAATCACCGATGTCATCTAAACTTGACCAACCCCCCTCTTTTACTTACTTTGTTCTTCCATCTATCAGTTGGCACACATACACAAGCTATAAGAGTAGCTCTTAATGACCTAAAACCTCTTATAATTATTGAGAATATTGAAAATGTTTCTGCATTTTGTTGTCAGACCTACCCTGTCTCTAAGTGGAGGTGTCACTGTGCTTCTGATTGGTAATTAAATGATCATCCAACTAAAGGGCAGCCCTAGAGTAAAGTGCTGAGCTACCTCCGTATCTAATCAGAGGTCACGCTGCACACGCTACGCTAAGAGGGACCTTGCTAAATAGTTTTTTCTCCATTTCTTATCATTTCTAAATGCCATATTTTTCAGCAAGGCTTTCTCTGTCTCAAATTACCTTTCCGTGAGTGTGTATTAGAGTGCTACCAAAGTGTCTGTGTGTGAGTAGGAGAGGGAAAGAAAGTGAACAGGGAGGCGAAATTGAATTCCATTCATGGTCTGTCATCTCCTGAGTTTCAGATAATGTTAGGAGAGAAAAAGAGTGTGTCTGCTCTGAGTGTGAAATTGTAGTATTTGTTTAGAGTCGTTTGACACACTGTGGCTTTTTTTAGTTATTTTCCAAAGTCAGCAGTTATACTTTTATATACTCCTGAGCAAATGTGAGGCTGCCCTGTGTGTGTGGCTGTTCAGAGGGATTAATACAACCCTTTGGTCTACCACAATACATCAAAGCCCCAAATTATTTCCTGAAGTCTCACAGATGTTTCCTCATAGAGCAGTGTGCAGGATGGAGGGGATTTCAGGTGGTCTTAGCGCTTTGGACCTCCCAGAAACATTGAAACATTAAGTTTGATAATATAATTAATTAATAAAGTCTAACTTCAGGAACATACCCATTCAAAATACTAAACCTTTTTTCAACCATCTACATGTAACTGAACACTTGCATTTCAGAAATGAATTTATTTTTTAATTGTAGAAAACAAAAACATTTTAAATGTAAAAGTAGTAATATTTATGGTATTGAGAGGATCTTTAAATGTGCGGTGATGATGTTCAATATATCTACTTGGAATAAGTGGTTAATGATACATACTCTGATTTGGAGGTATATATATAAATAGTTTAATATATATTGTAAAAATACCCACTCACAAGTATAGCAACACCTGTAATGCACATTCAGGCTCTCTCGATCATCACAGCGTTCTTCACACACTGACAAAGAGACTTGCAGTACTGTGCTTTCTCATTTCAACCTGAGAAAAGTGTGTTTTCTCCACATATTATAATTCTGCAGTAGCACGTCTGCCACTTGCTTATTAGTGTCAGAGCGCCATAAGACAAGGTCTCTGGTTTATGTCCATCCATGTGTAATAAACGTGATGAAGTAGGAGTGTTCCTTCTCACTGGGATGAACTGCCAGGTTTTGTCTCTGGAGGCTCATGTAGTTGTAGTATGAGTCACACAGACAGACACAATGAAACAGAGCGCCACGCTGACTCACTGAGGGCTCATTCAGAAAAAAGAAAATCACATGTTAGTTGTAAAGATGAAATCATCAAAATGGATCTCTAATTTGCCAACTGGGTCATGTTTGTATATTTTATTTCCCAGCTAACAAACGCTGCCAACTGCATTGCCAATCCAAGGAGACACAAGATGTGGTCTCCATGCAGAGGATGGTCCTGGACGGCACACGCTGCTCGTACAAGGACCCGCACAGTGTGTGTGTGCGCGGGGAGTGTGAGGTTAGTGACTTCATGTGTGTGTGTGAGGGAGAGCAAAACAGCTGCATGTGGTCAGATCGTCATTACTTAAACTTTCCATGTCCTCATGAACAGAAAGTGGGCTGTGACGGTGTGGTCGGCTCCTCAAAGCAGGAGGACAAGTGTGGAGTGTGTGGAGGAGACAACTCCAGCTGTAAAACATTCAAAGACACCATCACACGTACTGCCAAGAAACAAGGTAAACAGGCACTGACGGTCACAATAACTCTAAATCTGAGGCAGACATGATATCGGTGTAGCTGCTGTCTGTCATGCTGGTGAGTTCAGGATTAATAGTTGGCCAATGTGCTTTTCTTGTACTGTAGTATGTACACCATGTTGACTTGTCTCCAGCTAAACATCGCCCTCTAGAGGAATATTTGCAACATTGTTCAAACATCAGTGAGATCCGAGTTAATATGTTTCCACGAGAGTCGAGCACTGCCAAGAAGTTACGTCAAACCTCACTCCATGACCAAATGTTTATAAGTATATTATATCACTCTTGAGGTCGGAACAAACTTGCATTACAACACCAAAATTCTCGGAATCAGATGTTGTATAATGAGCTTTTGATGATGCTGGAGTCACGAACCACATGTCTGTTATATTTCAGGTTTCCTGAAAGTTCTTGAAATCCCCAGAGGAGCGAGACACTTGCTGATCCAAGAGCTGAAAGCGACCTCACACACTTTAGGTACTCAACTGAACATTGTTTTTCTATTCCTGTGTGTATATTTTGTATTGCAGACTTCTGTGATAACATTGCAAGTGTAAATAATATATATTTCCCACCCATCTTCAGCCGTAAAGAACGTGGCATCAGGACTGTTCTTCTTGAACGGGGAAAACGATTACCCAGAATCCCACTCGGTCATAGAAAAGGGCGTCGAGTGGGAATATGAGAATGACAACGACAAGGAGACTCTTCAGACCACCGGTCCACTCAGACATGGAATTTTGATCATGGTAACATTGACATTTATAGAGCCAGTATTACATTTTGTAATGCTTTACATACCAAATCAAACTTCTGAAATGATGTCTGTTATGTTAAGTTTTATCACTTGTTTCTGTTTGTAGATGAAATTGCATGGAGACGAGGACGTGAATTTGTCATATAAGTACATGATGAACATGGAGAGTGACACTGGCATTCAGAACAACATGCTGGTGGAGGACAGTGCCTATGAGTGGGCTCCAAAGAAGTGGTCCTACTGTTCCAAGCTCTGCGGTGGAGGTACAGTTGTTTTGAATGTCTCGTCCCTGAGGTTAACTATTTCAAATTTGCGTATCCTTATTTATGTTTATTTGCTTACATTTCTGAAATGTTCCCGCCCTTCTTGCTGTAGGAAAACAGTACCTTCGATATGGCTGCAGAAGAAAAGTTGACAGTAAGATGGTCCACAAGAGCTTCTGTAATAAATCCAACATGAAACCTAGAGGAGACACCAGAGACTGCAACCAGAAGCCCTGCCCTCCACCAATGTATGCATTATTTGTCCCCAACTGTAGTAATATTTCACAATCTTTGACACACACAAGTTAACTTTTTCTGCATTGAGCTTGCCCTTTCTCTCCCCGCATTCATGGTTTACTTCAGCATATTTAAATGTTAAATGCCCTCAGAACTCCTGCTTTCTCTCCCCTGTGGTGTTCTCCAGTTGGGTGACAGGAGAGTGGCAGAACTGCAGCAAACTATGTGGAAAGACAGGGATGCAAATCCGCTCGATCAGCTGTGTCCAGCCGTCAGATGACAACACCACACGCTCCATTCACAATAAGCACTGCAACGACGAACGGCCCGAGACCCGCAGACCCTGTAACCGACACAACTGCCCCACCCAGTGGAGGGTCGGATCGTGGTCACAGGTACGCAGGCTGAATATGAGTCAACAGTAGTCAGAAATCAAACAGGGAATTGAAAAAATTTTGGCCGATTTAGCTTTTTTGCAGGGAAAACAGGCAGGTGTTTTTGTATTGAATCTCAACAGCTGGTATTTCTGTGTGATGTTCTGTGTTTTTAACATCAGGAATTCTCCAAACTGAAGTCTTGGCAGGTTAGACCAGCCTCTGAGAAACAGATGATGTGATGTTCCCTGTAACCAGGGTGCGAGTTATGGTGGAGCCAATGGGAGCTGAGCATCCTATAAGGAGGGGTCTGAGCTCCTATGAAAGCAGTGAAATCATACATCTGTGGGGGTTGCTAATACATTACCAACAACCATTATTTTAATCACAAATAATGCATGTGTCAAGGTAATGAGTATAATTTATGTTAATGAGGTAAATAGGCTAAAAGAAAAACATATTTTCCAAAAGAACTACGCATCGTATTCTCTCTTGAATGACAATATGCCATACACTTCACCTCCAAGGTGACGCAAACAGATGCCTGTTTGCGTGCTGCGCGAAATGAGCAGGGAAGTCTCTCTCTCTCTTTCTCTCTCTCTCTCTCTCTCTCTCTCTCTCTCTCTCTCTCTCTCTCTCTCTCTCTCTCTCTCTCTCTCTCTCTCTTAAATATCCCCCGTTATTTACGTTATTACCCGGCTGTTATTTATATATTTATCTCCGCCCCAAACGTTCATTTTAAAGACCCCCATAAAGCTCAGATTATAACACAAACCCTGCCTGTAACTACTTCAAAAAACGGGGATAATGATTTACTATCATGATGTTCATGTACGCTTAATGTGAATGTACTACTTTACCTTTTGTTAAGATATAATAATGTATTTACCAAGTCATTTGTCTTAATATTCTTTGTTGGTGTTCATGTACTGTCTCTCCAGTGCTCTGTGACATGTGGTAACGGGACGCAGCACAGGTGCCACACCAGGGACAACAGCATCGGCCTGTGTCTGGACAGTAAGCCTGAAACCATCAGAGTCTGCCACCTGGATCCATGTCACAGTGAGTGTTGGGAACCTCAACACATACTAAACCTGCCAGAACACACTGTCATATGTGCAAATCACTTAAACGCATTTATTTACAAATAACTGTACTACAAATTCATTCCCCTATATCAGTCAAGAAAGATAGGCAAGTTGATCAGAAAAAACATTCAGAGGGTTCTCTTCCCGTCTAAATTTCTCCATCCTCTTTGTGTCTGCAGGGGACTCAGACTTCAACAGGAATGGCAACATGCTGATCCAGTTGCTGTCTCGCCGTAACTCCATCTACCCGCAGATCTCCTCACGTAAAACCTCCCTCTATAGTTCCCAGCCCGGCCTCCACAGCAGCAGCCGCAGCTGCATGTCTGTCCTCTGCTGGGCCCTGCCCGTCTCTGTCCTCCTGTCTCTGCAGGGCCGGCCCCGGCTGGCCCCCTGACCTCCCACCCGGCCCTTGCCTGTGCCCACGCCCGTGAGCAAGTGGCAAAGCTTTCGCTTCTCTTTTTGGGGGGGGATGTTGCCTCTCTCTCTGTGTGTCTGAGGCGGCTCTGACTGGGGGAGGTCTATGGCTCCTGTGAGTGCTAGTTGGTTCTCTCTTGCTCTGTCTCTCTCTCTCTATCTCTCTCTCTCTCTCTCTCTCCTTTGTGGAGCATCGTGTTGTAACCGCTGGCCAGTCGAAAACTCAAAAGATCAACAAAAAATTTGATGTGAAAAGGATTCGAAGTGGCAAGGCGAACAGGTTTTCATGGGCACCTCTTGAGACGTGTCGAAGAGCCGTTCACGTGTGATGGGACCCCCCTTCGCATTTGGCGGCCATGTTTTGCGCGAGCTAGCTGCGTGTTGTCATGGGTTACCACTCCTGAGATGCAGATGCGCTTCTTTTTTTTTGGCGCACTGTCATTGTTGGGAGAAACAGGTGTGAAAATAAACAGAAAAGGTATATAAATATCTATATAGAAAAAAAAGTTATAAAAAAAATATGAAAGCTTTATTGTGAATGTGATCTTGTCACAATGAGGACATCTTTGCTAAAGTGCTCATCTGACATCCTGGTTCCATTCGGGGATGAGAAGGGCGTCTCATTCTACGTTCCATTCTCAGATTGACAGGAACTCGGCACAGGGACAGGAAGTGATGGAAGAAAACCCTTAGATTTTTAGGTGAGGGACCTGTGAGGTGAAGAATCTTGAAGAAAGGCTCATTTTAAAAAACACACACAAAAAAACAGGGTAGTCTGACCGCTTGAGGTTGCTTCCCATTTCACCTCACCATCAGCCATCCTCTCTTTGACTGTTATACTAAAGTTCAATAAATGCAGCTTATTTGTGCTTGCAGACTTTAAACAAATACATCTATAAATATATTTGTATTTATATATACCTATAAATCTAAATCTATATGAGTAACAATAATATTAATAATGTTTTACCATGAATAAGCTGTAGCTTATTTGCCTAAAACCTTTGGACTGCTATTGATCGCTTAGATCCTTGACTGTTATGTGTATTTTTTTATTGATTTTACATGAATACAGATGAATATTTAATAAAGGTTAAAGTGTTTTGGGGGGAAGGGGTTAGATCTACATTATGCAGGACTTGGTCAGTTAGTTGCCTCTCCATTCTCAGATGGATCAATGGTTTACTGTTGCTTCTCGTTTTCTTTAAGGATAGGATCACGTTTTGTCATGCACATTTGCATTCATCTCGTGTGTGTGTGTGTGTGTGTGTGTGTGTGTGTGTGTGTGTGTGTGTGTGTGTGTGTGTGTGTGTGGTGTGTGTGTGTGTGTGTGTGTGTGTGTGTGTGTGTGTGTGTGTGTGTGTGTGTGTGTGTGTGTGTGTGTGTGTGTGTGTGTGTGTGTGTTGTGTATAAGCTAAGATGAGTAAGTTGAATGCAAAGTGGTTGAAAGATAAATAAACTAGTCTTGTCAGTAAGAGTGTGTTTGTCTGATTGAGTTGTGTGTGTGCATGTGTATGTGTGTAAGGGAGCTTCATCATTCGGGCTTTTACATATCGCTATCAGATACAGAAATACCTCATAAACTTTGATTTGAGAGCGTCCGATGATTTCATTTTATTTTGATGAACATTAACCACATGAACAATGCCTTATCTTGGATTGAATGTAATGGCATTTATCTGTGAAAGAGATGGCTTTACTCATTCAAAGTTTCACTCGGAATAGAGGCAGCTTCAAACCAACTTAACAAACTCACACCCGCCAACCATCAAACCTACCAAGGTGATGTTGGACCAATGTCCGACTACTGGGAAGGGTTTACAAAGGGCCTAGGGTATCGACACATATGGCATCTAGAAAAAAAAAAAAAACACTTCAGACTTGTCATTGTATTGTGATCACATATTTCTGTTGTGACTATGTAGCGAGCTATCCAAGGTTTCCTTCTGCTGGAGTTGGACTGTATGAGATCAAGCCAGACCTAGCAGTGCGACTGTATATAACATTGGTGTTGACTGTATTTAATAATGTTCATGACTGTTATCTTCTTCTATAATATTCTATACTATGGGTAACTGTTTTGTGGCTTCACTGGCCTGCTGCGTGGCGCTGGCTAACGTTTGGCTAACGTTGAAGAAACATTCAGATGGACTACGTGCACTGCGTCTATATGCACTTTGATTTATCAGGGAAATTTTATTAATGTTTTGTAAATGTTTCATATGACACTTACTGTGCCATTCCCATTTTTACATCATCATGGAAATTATGTATTTCATTTAAACAGCAAATATCATTTATGTACTTCATGTTTTTTTCAATCGATTAAACAGATTGACTGGTTGATTTCCAAGTAATGAAGTGTTTTACCAAAGTGACTGTGAACTTGTAACTTTCGATACAGTTGAATTATTTTTCTTAAGAAAAAGAATATATCTATATATTGAGCAGGGGGGGGGCGTACATCTCATTGTTTCAGTTACTGTCATTCTCAAAAGCAAAGTTGTATCAATAAAAATGTTTTAAAAAGTGTGATTTGTATCTCATCAGGAATGTTCACTGGTTGGATTACTTGTCAGATAAAATGTCAAAATGCAAACATTGTGGGAAGAATACAGTTACTTTACTGGCATGGTATAAAAAGGGTACAAGGATGCTAACCTGAAGAAAAAGGCAACACAAAGCTGCACAAGCAATAGAAATCCAAAATTAGATTAGAAGTTATGGATGAAAAATTCAGAACTGAAAAGTTATTACACAAGACTGGCAACCCTTCTTTTTCCTTTTCAGTGGCTCTGGACTAATCTCATAACTGCTCTTGATGTTTGGGTTTTTCCTCTTTTTTCCTGCATCCTCTGATAATGGTCTGGCTTTTCTACTTTACTACTTCTCTCTGCATATTCTGCAGTATGCATGTACTTTAAGTAAAACTAACACGCAAATAATAATGCTAACTATAATTGTTATTGTTACACATACGATGACAAACCTCAACAACCAGACACATAAACACACATCTCTGCATAGTCTCTGCCACTCGCTGCACCCCGTCTCAGCTTTTTGTTCTTTCCTCCACAGGCCGGCGTTGTCATGGAGACCGCACCGTGTTCTGTCGTATGGAGGTGCTGAAGCGCTACTGCCCTCTACCGGAGTACCAGCGCATGTGCTGCAAGTCCTGTGCCAATGTCAGCGTTACAGGAGTTCTACTCACCTTCACACCCATCACCTCCATCCTGCCCAGAGTTACAGCTCCTCCACCCAGCAGCACCCTTAGCTCTGGCTTCACCACCATCCCACCCACCACAGCTGTCATCACCACCATTTCAGCTTCTACCATCGATCCCCGGACCACCACTCATCCTCCTACCTCTATCACTGCTATTCCTCATTCCACACTTTTCCCTACACAAATGATCCCCAATCATCCTTCTACGTCTACCACTGATGTTCTGACCTCCACATCTTCCCCTCTAAGTGAAACTCATATGATCATCACTCATCCTCCAGCTGCCACCAGTGCTACAGTCCCTCCCACCATCTTTTCCATGTCGACCACCTCAAGTTCAACTTATTTTAGTGTTACAGCTCATCCCCTACCTCTGCCTGCCCCAGACATAGATGAGAACACAGACATACAGTTACAGAGTACTACAAATGGTCCAACAACATCTGGTATCATAACTACAACACACCTTCCAGCAACAAACATTCCAACTATGACGCATCCTACAGAAAGCACTACAAAAATAGATGCCCAAATAAAGTCAAAGCCTAAAAAGATTTTGCCAAAGAAAAAACCCAAAAAGGTGTTTCCACCAAAGATCAATCCAAAAAAGAATACTGCACAAAAAAATATTACAAGACAAAATGTTCCACTAAAGGTCAAGCCCAAAAATAAAACGAATGCTGCTCCAAAAAAGGGTAAATTAGGAGACAGCAATCCGCCGCAAAATAAACCAGAAAAAAAAGCTCCCAAAAAGACTATTAAACCAAACACGGCCCCTAAAAAGACTACTAAACCAAACACCACCCCTAAAAAGAATCCCCCTGTAAAGACCACCACCAAAAACAGTCCTGTGATAAAGACTCCTCCCAAGAAAAAACCAACACCCAAAAAGAAGGCTCCGTCACAGGCCAAACCTAAGAACACTCAGCCAAAGCAAAAACAAACAAAGACAAATATCCAAAAGATCCCCAAACCAGGTCCCAAAAAGGCAACAAACTCACCAACTAAAATAAATCAGGATAGGTTCAAGGTAAAAAAGACTTATCCACCAAAGAAAACCCAAAAAACAGTGTCTCCATATTTGACAACAACTGCCACTCTGCAAACAAGTCCAGGACCACTAAGAGAGTTCTTTTCTTCCACTATCTCTGGCGCCAGTGTATATGCGACAGTTGCAGGCATGCCTTTGTCTGAGTCCAGAGTCAATGTCACATACATCAATGACAACACAGCAACTACAGATGAAACTCCGCTGTGGTATTATAATGTTTCAACCACAACACCTATCACTTTTGGAGATGGCATTACACCAACTGACATCGCTCATTTTGAGGAAGTCAGCGTGTCCAGTGGAACCATGCCTCACAGCGGTGCTCCAATGACCAGCAGTGGTGATGTCCCAGTAACCAGCGGGACCATTCTCAGTGGTGATGACATCACAGTGTCCTACAGCAACAGGGAAGGGGTCAGTGACACCATGGTGCTAGATGACGGACTCACTATGATGATCCCAACCATCAACAGCGAGGATATGACGGACCTCGCTTCCTCGCCCTGGCTGGACCTGTCTGAATACATCCCTGTGAGCTTTCCTGTTCCCACGACAACTTCAGACCCTGCCTTAGCCTCACCTTCCACCATCATCACTCTGCCAACAGAAACATCAGCCATCTTAACCACAACCAAACCACAGCAAAGACCAGAGGAGAACAATGAGAACAACTCCATCGACATCATATACAACAGGGTCATCGGCGTAGACAACGATATCTCCCAGAACAATCTGATCCCAAGGCGTCGGGTCAATCTCAGAGAGAGAACCAAGAACAAACGCATTCAGGAGCTTCTGGAGGAGAAGAGGAACTTTCTCCTCAGGATGAAGCGAGGTCACAGAGTATGAAAGATCAAGCCTTCTCATTTCTCTTATAGAGATGAAGGTGTTCCTTACAGACTTTTGTAAACTATGTTTGAACCACTCTAAACTGCCATGATGCTTTTTATGAGGCCTTCACAAAAAACATTGTCATATCACTATCATGACCATCAGGACTTTCCCAGGTGGAAAATCATGGCAGAATGTTTGATTAGTTGAGAATTAAGAAAAGTCCCAGATTGTAGGCAATTTGAAGCAAATTGTTTCATCTATGTCAACAAATCAATGAAAAGCAGAAGGGATCAAAAGTGAATATTCAGTTTGCCAGTTTGGTCGGGACTTCAGAAATCCATGTTTTTATCCCCCAAAACCACCCACAGACTTGTTAGAGGCTTAAACAATGATGTAGATAAGGTGTTATGTTGTTTCTAAAATGGTATTATCCCTACTGGCACTTATTGAGCAACATATTCTATCACCTAGAACCCAAGTCTTCATCTCAATATTATATTACAGCCTAGGACTGCAGCTCATTTCCCGATAAACAGAGATGTCTCCTCCCCTAATAACAGCTTCTGTATGACAACATAAAAATGTCCTGTTGTTAAAGGTTTAAAATGTTTTTGTCGACAATCATTTTTATAATTTGGTTTTAAAATGTTTTTTCTTTACCATCCCTTGTCCGGTCCTGCTCAGGGGGAATCTTACATCACATCCACATCGTCTAAAATCTTATCTAAAAAAACTAACATGCACTTCCTGTTCTCCAAAACAAAAGAGATAGGCAACAAGTCACATAAACCAATACCAAACAGACTGGGAATCAAGTGAAAGAAAAATAATGTGTATTTCTCTGTAGGGTCCTTAACATTATGTCGTCAGACTCTTAAAATAACTATATGAGCTTGACCAGTTTCAAAGTTGTCATGTTATGTAGAAATTGTACTTGAAAAAGATATGACGATGCTGTTCAATCAAAAAGTCAAAGTGCACTTTTCATTAGGTTGTGAAAAGTTTACCCTGCTTAGATTGTGTGGCCTTTTCCAAAACATGGGGTCTCTCATCTCTCAGGAAGTTAAGATAACGTATATTGAGGGACATTGCTAAACATGTGATGCTTCCTGAATTGTTTCAATATATATTTGTAATATCTCATTAAGCAAGCTGGAAAAAAAGTAAAGAGAAGAAAACTATATTAATTGCAATTTCTTTTTTATGGCCAGTCAAGTATTGTTCTTCCTTGACAGTGTTGCTTAAGTGATGTCCCTCCTGCATTCATTTATGTACACACATATTATAATAAAACAAACAGGCCTGTTTTTATCAAATGTAAGCTTTAGGGGCCAGTTTATTTTATTTTCTAAAGGCTTTCTTAATGGTACATCTCTAACTTGCAGCAGCTGCAAAAGCATATATGGATCGTTCTGTACAATATCTGTACATATGAAAAGAACTTAATGTTTAATATTTATTAAAGTTTACATGCCTGTGGTATTTTGCAAAATGTCGGTTTTGTGTGATTTATTTGTTCCACTGACAATCATCACGTGGCCCTTCATTCTCAACCTCATTGTTGCATCAATATGCAGTGATTTAAGGCTGCACAGCTCCTATAAGCCTCAAATGATCTCTAGCACGGTTACAGGCTCAACATCACATTTCACAGTAATGCCATATCTGACACATAGGGGGAAACATTGCACTTTTGTTCAATGATGTATTCATGTTCTCTGTATTCATATCCCCTCACACCACCTTTTGTATATATTTTGTTATCTTGCCAGTCTCAGGATATCAGGTTCAGAGCATGATTGCCTTAAAACTGATATTATTTGCAATGGAAAATAACATTACATTGCACTTCCTCTATAAGATTAAAGATTATAGATTTTTTCTTTTCTTTATTCCCTTTATATGCAAGACTAAAGATTGACCGTTAGATGTTTATATCTTTCATAAGCCAATGATTTTTTTCATGTTTTCACTTCATCTGGCCTCTGTAAGGTGACAACCCCACTCTGATTACATCTATTAAAGCAAACATAAGCCTGTATGGATGCACTAATGTTAACTGTCAATAACCATTGTATCCCCCTCGGAGATAAAAACAATTTGTAGTGTAGGCCCACAATAGAACTAGATAAGAAACATTTGCAACCTCAAATGTTCAGTTATCACATTTTTGCAGTTTGTGAGAAATGGAGTCCAAAGTAGAGAGGAATATTTGTGTCAGGAAGTTCAACATCGCTCTCCTGACTCATTTCGAATAACTTATCGTTTAACACTCGCAAGTGGTCAGTACAGTCGCACCTGGAATCCAACAGCCCACCGTGATGGAGATCATGGTTTGGATCCTGGTCATGTCTGTAGACAGTGTTTCAAAGAAGTGCTGATCCGATTCTTTTGATGTTATTGATTGGTTTTAGGCAATAGTTTGCAGTTGTGTTGCAGTATTGTTTGATGCTAAACGTTTTGACAAAGATTGAACCCTCTAAGGTCCGAATTCAAGATGTATTGCAATGTGATTCTACTTACTGTAACTGCATTATATCGTAATGTCTTGTCATCTTGTCCTTTCCCTGTGATCAGAATTCTTCCTAAAACATATTTCATAACTTGTTCTTGGAAGACGCAGTAATCTCTCTAAGGATAGGTTAGCTGTCCTTTAGAGGAAAACTCTATGAACAGATTTTAGGGCTCCTTATGGCAGCTTGAAGATCAGTAATTAAATTCATATCAGGTTCAACCATCAGAGCACTTCCATTTATCCATCATTCATCTGAAAGTGTCCAGCTTTCTCTACCCACACATTTTATCAGCCATAAAACACAAGCGTCAACAAGAGATTACAGACGGAGGAAAGAGGAACACTAAACAGAACTGGAAGCGTTTAACCTTCCTTTTGTATAAAAACGTTTTGCTATCTAATCTTTCTTTGTAAAAATATTAGTTGACATTGTATGTCACAACGATATACTGGTCACGGTGTTTTGCTTTTGTAAAATAGACAGTGTGAAGAGTATTCAATCCATCAATTGAATGCGTATGCGAACAGTACGCATGTCACAGGAAATGTTTAGCTGCTTCACTCTAAGTGCCTGCACAAAATAAATAAGTTAAATAATGTTATAGAGTTGTGAGTTTTTAGTTAAATGTTTGGGATTAAGAATAAAATAGTGCCATTACATTGCTTTTATTGAATGTGTCCATGAATATCCTCAATTTGATTGCAGTCCATGACTACAACATTGCAGTGGCTTAGTGTCTGTCTACAGAACACACATCATACACAAGTGTCATAATCTGTGGGTTGTTGTTTAGCTGAGAGCCATTACAAATAACTCAACCCATACCTAATCTATTTAATATGCTCGCTATGCCTGCTGAAAATACAGCTATTTCCTTGTAAACACACAAACAACACATCCAAATGCAAGCATGACTGGTGTTTAACCAGGTTTTTGTTGCTTCTTTCATAAATGCTGGTTCATGTTGTGCCTCGTGTTCCTCGTGTTTGTGATTTTTGTAATTTGTAGAATGCACATTGATAAATGCAGTCAGTGTGCTGTCTGAGAGACTGCCAGGAGTATAACTGAACAATGTGTGTGCATGCGTGTGTGCGTGTGCATGTCCCGCTGTCTTTGAGGCAAATTTAGTTCATTGTGACTAGGCCATTAGAGACCCATAAAAAGAAAGGAATCTTTTAGTTAAGATGCAAAGAAGATGTGACTCATATGTGTCACAGAGTTCACTATCCTTTACATATACACGCACGCACGCACGCACACACACACACACACACACACACACACACACACACACACACACATGCACTCACACACAACACAAGATTGAAAGCCCTTTTCCCCACACAATCTAGATATATTGAAATACACATCTGCATTTTAAGTTGTCTAATAAAATAAAAATGTAACGTTGCCACAGATATCTTTATATATTTAGTAAAAGAGCTTTTACAAGCATTACCATTGAAGTGCACGGTGGCTGACCATTGTATAATGTGTCTGTAGTAGTATTTCTCTCCACCAAACTTTTTTTATATGAGGAAAAGAAAAATCCCCTTTCTTCAAATTTGATTTAGTGTAACTTCATAAACTTCATAACAAATGGTGTTTGTCAAATCTGGAAAAGGCGGTAAGAAATTAAATTGTTAAATGAAACCCTTTGAAATTCATTTTTTCCAATAATACATTCTTTAACTGAATCACCACAATGGTCAATTCTCCTAAAAATGTCCCACAACTTTAAAACATGCTTCTCAATAGAAATCAATTCAGTTTTGAACAGTGTACACAATCTGATAATAGGAAAAACAATCAACAGTATTGCCTCTATCCAACCACCTGCTGTCCCATTATTATTGTCAAATCCTGAATACAAATGCACCCTATTTTACCTGGAAGCTGCCCAGTTTACATTCTTCATGGTTATGCAATGCTTGTTAAGTTCGCCCCACATCCTCCAAAATAGGCTCTTCTTCCATTTTAATACAAGGGTGTTAAATATCTGTTCTAATATTCAATAATTAATTTAGTCTTTAGCCAGAATCCAGTATAGTCTTAATTTAGATGAACTGCACTCTTGGGCCCCACATAAAGTCTAAATGAAACACATTTCAGTTGACCGACATCATTAATAACATTTTATGAAGAATCAAACATCTGTCTGTAACTCATTTTAAAGACTAAATGAATGACTGAGAATTTCTCCAAGAAACTGGATAACACCAGTAATCCCAGCTATGTGTTATGAACACACTCAAACACGTGCAAATCTCTCACATGCATTTCAAAGTAGTATGCATGTTAAGCTTTTTACAATAATGGTAAACATGTTGACATATTCTCCACAATTTGTAGATTCTCCTGGCACTAAGCTTCATTTACATTTGCCAAAGATGACAGTGGCTTACTGTGTTCATTTATAGTCAGTCTTTATTTAAATTGCATGTCCTGAAAGAATACTGGGTAAAAATAACCTCCACGCCTCATCTTTCCTCTATTTTTCTGTTTTGTTTCCTCCTCTGTATCCTTTTTCTGTCATCACCCTCAATCCATTTCTTAGTCATCTCTCTTTCGCTCTCTTCCCTCTTTCTCTGCCTCTGTTTTTCTCTCTCCATCAATACAGCCGGCCAATGACAGCGCCTGTGCTGAGGAAATGGATGATGTGTCTATTTTTAGAACCAGGGAAGGAGGGCAAACCAAAAGTAAGCTGGAGAGAGAGAGGGAGGGAGGGAGGGAGAAAGAGGAGGGATGTGAGGAGAAGATAAATCTGCATTCTACCGCTGCCTCTGGTCAGAGACATTTGGAGCCACAGAGCGCTTTAGGAGAAGCAGCATCACTGGCTGGAGACTGAATTATAAATACAATTTAAAGAAGAATAGATCCAGCTGCAGATTGATATTCAAGATTGCAAGAGCAGAGAAAAGAAAAGAAGAAAGACCAACTGGGCTCCACAAAGAAAAAGGTGAGTGGAAAAGCAAAAAATCCTTCCATAATGACTGAGAATGCATGAGGTAAAGATACACAGCGTGCCTGTTCTGTGCCTCAGCACAGAGCTGCTACCGTGGAACCATTTTTAGCTGCTGTATACCAAAGGTGTGGTCTAAATATAGCCATGGTTGCACCTTGGAAGAAACGGGGAGAGGCTGGCTTTTTGGTTTGGCTGGCACTATTTTTGGCATGGAGGTCGAGACGAAAATATATTGTGGGCTACACTCAGGGTTCTCACAATATGGGGTTGAAAATCAAAATATAAGCTGACACATTCTGTGGCTTTACATGATTGAGATGGCATTTAAAATAGTCATCTATTTATGTTTCATCTTGCTGCTCCTTGTTGGGATTGTTTGTAGTTTGGGGTATTTACACTGCATCTCCAAAGTAAGCAGGAGATAGAGTGTCAAAAGGGGAAAAGGAAGAGAGGGACAGTTTTTATGTGGATCAAATTCAATTTGATACAATCAGGGACAGAAATAGAATGTTGTCTTTGGATCATAAGTTATTTATCCAGAGGTAGCAGCAAAATGATGTCATTGTTAAAGCACATTATTCTGATGAGGTACTATATAACCTTTTCAAAGCAAACTGTAAGCTTCAAAACAATAATCTTTTGATGTAAAGTTTCAGATCTTCTAATGAATCATATGTTTTCTTGAATGTAGAGCAAGATGTAGTGCCATAAACTGTTTTTATGAATGGATAACCTTGCAGCTACAGCCTTTATGATACCTGGTCATCATATTGTCATATCAAATGTAGACTATCAACCAATGATTCTCCATTTGATATTTTGCTTTGCACGATAAACCTCAGAATAATCAGTGAATTTACTGTCATACTGGCAATACACTGAACATTATTCTACCTGTTAAACATTTGCCTGATGATATTTTGGCTCTGAACCTGACATTTTCCCTCCTTGCCTCTCTCAGCTATGCGACCGCGCTCCAGACTGCTGTCCAAGA